GGGTGAAACATGATTGATTGCTTGGACGATTCCCGACCCGTCCAGGTCAACTGCGATTCAAAAACTCTCGTATAAATATACAATTATGCATCAGAATGGACAAATCCGGTGACACTTCAAACATCTACCCGGTTCAAATATAAAGTAATCCCTTCAACATCATTCCATTGGAATCTCCTTTTTCATTCATATCTTTTTCTTTCTTGTGCTGACGTAAAACTCGGTCCAAATTAGTGATTGTGATCCAAATTCTTTGGCTTGTGCTTTTGCTCACAGTGATAAATTTGTAAATAATCGTGGTAGTGGATAAGGTTTTGTGGATTTCTTATTGAATTATCTCTTGATAACTTGAGAATAGATCATAAATGATAATTTAGAACTTCTCCAACCATCAGAATTTATGAGCCCAAGAACCTTGGTTGTATCCCTATCTGATCTGGAATAACAAAAAAGAGGTAACGAAAGGTAAGAAAGCTATAGACTTTCCCTTTCGAACCAAACACAACCGTACACCTGTATGATTAGGGATGTCAAAGGGTCAGGTTTGGCATGGGTTTGCCTCAACCCTAATCCGAGGGTGCCCCAACCCAAATCCGAACCGACTCTATAGGGTCTAACTTGATACCAATTCGACCAGATTTGTAACATTCTAATTGCATGTTGTAAATATGTTTTGAAGACATAAAATCCATTAATTTAAGTTAAGAAGTTGTTTTATAGATTTTAGTCACTTTTCTCATTTAAAAAAGAAAAAAAGAAGAAAACCAAAATCAATATGTAACTAAATCTTACACTTTAAAGCTATAGAGTTAGAAGTAAAAAACTTAGAATAATACTTTGTATATATGCAAGGTATCATGATCCATCAAGATGGGTCAGCCAATGCCCGAACCCAATTCGAGTTAAAGAATCAAAACCCTAAACCAAATATATTTGCCCCTAACTTGACCTTATACAGTCGGGTCAAACCGGGTTTACCATTTAACCCGACCCATTAACATCCCTACGTTTAATTTGATGAGATTCTTATACAATCAAATAAACAAGTGTCTAAAAAATCTGATAGTGGTAACACAAGATGGCAGCTTAGTGAGCAGTTCGACTGTGTAGAAGCTTCATCGTCATCTATGCCTTATCCCAATTATATGGGATCAATTATATGAATCTTGTTTCATTGTTTTTGTTCTATTTACTGTGATATCCATTGTTAAATTATGAGCACAGTTGATGTGAGGTGAAAAGAGCTCCGGCTCTGGGTTATTAAATTTCTTTCATTCTTTTTTCTCTAATTGAGTCTCTGAAGACGTAAAATTGGGAATATATGCAATAGAAAATAGATGAACTAAAGGCAAAGGCAAGAATTGACAGAGTCGTAAAAAAGATGTCCTTAAAGACGTTAATGGGATAGGTGGCTAAAGATTATTAGGGATCCAAATCACCATCCAGCAGATAGCTAATCAATAGATTGGGACTGAATCAAAAGAACAAATTTGGAGCGGTCAATTATTCTCGGAATTGGGATTCAGTAACACGAGGGTTTGAAAGCCTTCCTTTCACACTTGGAGAGCATATCGACCACCGGAAATCAGTCCTCACGAGACCTGTTCACACTGTATTCAACTATTCATAGCCAATAACTCCGTATTTAGACGTTTTTATTCGTAAGAGGATATTCTCAATGCACAATTGCAAATGGCCGTGAGTATCAAATGAACACGATCTTGTGAGAATTGAATCCAAATTTCTGGACCATCTCGCTGTCACCAAAGGATGGCGATAAACTTCGCTGTCTGTTACTCCTTTTTTCCTCTTTTGTCTTTAGTGGAGGCAAATGTACATTTTATCTTGTTTGGTTTTGAAACAGGGTACAAAGTTCCGAGAAATGATTGGAAATCTTCGTTGATAGTCATTGTTAGAGTTGAATATTCTTCGTCTCTTCCACAAACAAATAATTTCATTGCATCCCATTTCATCTCTACAACTTGCTTAGAACTTGTCCTGTTTTTTCTATGAAACTTCTTTTCGCTTCCCCATCTCCACCCTCTCCCTATAGAGCCATAAAAACTATGTGAAATTTGTTGACAACTTCTCATCGTTTCTCTCTCCTCATCCCATCCGTCAAACCAAACATAGCGTAAATGCAAATTCATATTGTTCTGCAGCCTTTTTGTCTATATGGGTTCAGAGGATTTCTCTTTCTTTGTTGTTTTGTTATATTTATAAATTTGTTTGTGCCCAACAGGGATGAAGTTCAGAATGAAAAGTTAGGATAGGTTAAATGTAGATTTCTGATTTCCACTAATGTCAATAACCTATATTTTATGCATCAACGGACTTATGAATTGACATTAATTTTAAGCTGGCACCTACCCAATAATATTTTGGACCTACAAATTCTGATCATGGGCTGAACTATTATTCTCCCTAAAATATAAATATTGACACATGCCTCTTCCGTCAGATTTAAAACATTAATACAGGTGCATGTATTTTTAAATTACCTTACTCTTATTCTTATTCTTTTGTGATACCCCTTCTTCCTAAGTGGGCCCAATCCCAAAAATAATTAAGCACATTAAAGGGGTGGGGACAGAATAGGATACACATTAAAGGGGTGGGGACAGAATAATTAAGCACATTAATAAGGACGTCAAGTGATTAACTCAGCTACTGCATCATCAACAACTGTCTTGAATTGCACCTTTGTTGCATGTCAGTTTAGCTAGGGTGGGATATTCATCCTAACGAATAATTTTTGTATTAGTCTACATGGTCCGGATCTTCTGGTAACTGGGTACGGTTCCACTCTTCTAGAAGACAATCAAATCGCCAACTAATAAGGCAAGATGTCAATATTGTTTGTTTGTATGTTTTTGACATTGTATGTTACAGGTGTAGGCTTGAAGATAATGCTTAATCTTGACCTTCCATTTTCTAGAGGTCAGGAAGCAATGTTTAAACGATTCGATGATTCGATTAGGTGTGGTCAAGAGGCACTATTCAAAGTTAACGGTTATTAATTGTTAATTATTTTTTGTTCAATGAGCTTTTTTTGAACCAACACCTTCTATGTTCCATGACTCTTCAAAAACTATTTAAGGAATGTGAATCAAGCAATTGAACACAAGTTCTCGTAAACACTCTTATCCAACGTTTTAAAAAATGACCCATAAGTGGAACCATTCTAGCCACTGGTTTCCGGGTCGACGGTCCGATCATCCAGTTTGAACGGACGACCCGTTTTTACAAAAATAATTAAAAAAATGGCCAAAAACTGTTGAACGGGTCAACGGGTCGACAATTCGACCATCGGATCAACAGGTTGTTGACTTTTTCAATGATTTTTTTGCCAAAGACCAAGTTTGAAGTAAAATGAAACTAGTTGCCTAGACGATTTTCAGGCCAAATGGTCTAACCATCCGGGTCAACGATGGTTTGAAAACCATACTCTTGTCAGTTCTCGTCGAAGTTTCCGTAACCCTGTCTTTTCCAACAAGAAAGCAGAGCAGTATCCAACAAAATGCATAGAAAACGACCGTAAAGGAAGCAATTACAATGGTATGGTGGGGACTTGATGCTCCTTGTACGTTCACCAAAAAAAATAGAAAAAACCTCCTTGTAGAGTCAACATTTCCGGCCACGGCGACAATGGGTCTCAAATAATTTCTGATTTCATGTTTCTAACTTTATTACGCTTGGCCTTATTTGCCCGTCTTTCATTACTCATGATCACATTATTAATATCAGAATTGAAAACTGTCCACTGCTCAGTAAATTGGGTTGGTCGTTCCAGTAATGTGGCCGCTCATATGTTAATCAAATATGTCTTAATTATTAATCATATGCATCTTAATTTGTGTCAATCTTTTTTTATACTCTGCTATCATTCAAGATTGTAATATGAGCAGTTGAATTAATGAATTTGGTTGAGGCACTCCGCCTTATAGCCTTTTGACCAAAAAAATTTGAGAACTGCCCACAAACTATTTTAAGATGAAACCACACAAACGTCCAAAACCTACATTTTTCATTCTCTAGTCTCTACTACTGTGTATTGTCCAACCTCGGCCTCTCCCCCCCTTCAACCAAAAATAGATTTAACTTTGTCAATTTCCCATTATTACTACATTTCCATGTACAATTATTAAATACTCTATCATATTTGTACACATATCCAAAGGGGTGCTGAACAAAGAACAATAGTTGTGGTCCATTTAGCTCGTCTCGGTTTTAAAACAATTACCTAACCCTACAGCCAACCATTTGTGTCAATTTAAGTACATGGGGTCGGCTATATGACTCTAGTTTTGTTCTATTCTGTCATATCATTGTTCTATTCTGTCAGAATAATGCCATATATTCATACTCAAAATTATCAACAATTCTTATTTAAAAAACTAATACAGCCTTAATCTGCATTTGTTTGCTGTGTAAATGCCAATCGATTTAATATTCTATTGTTGGTCCATTTTCAATGTACCCAATAAGTTGAGTTTTACATCGATTATCACACTTTAAAGAAATTCCAACCATTCACTGATTTTAAATCCATTGGCGTTGAACTCTATTTTACAATAAAAACAAATTCAGGTGTAAGAAATGTTCTATAGGGTAACGATGCAAATAAATGTAAATGCAAAGTTGAGTTAGTTTTGCATTTATAAATTTATCTTCTTATCAAATAGACTTTTAATTGTAATGGATGCAAACATAAATTTCAATAAAATATATGCTTTTTTTTATCGAAAACCCTTTTGAATGAAAATTTATTTCTTTTTTATTAATATATTTTTTCATCTTATTATCAATGTAAATATACATTGGTCTGTCATTTGTCAATACATAAAGTTAATATTACCAAATACAGATAAAAATAAACCAAAGTACAAATTTATCCTGAAATTGGTTTTGTTTTTTAAAACAAAAACAAACACTCACATTAGTAAAATTATTTGAAAAAAGAAAAACAAAGCAAAGCGAAAGAGGCATCAAACCAAGAATTAACCCACCTCCACAACGATGAAGCTCATTCATAAAACCCAGTGCCGAGTGTGGCTCGTTCCGGGGTTTTATTTAAATTACAGAGAATACAAGTATTTACAGCTACAACCAAAAGCCATTCATCTACACCGCTCAAATCAAACCTTAATTAAGCTGCTCGTAAATGGGTTTACATAATATTATATAAACTGATTAGACTAAAAAAGGACAAAATCCCTTCCTTCAAGCTTCACTTCACTTCCCTTTACATTGAAACCTGAAAGATGTCCTCTTCAAAGTGGAATACGTCATCAAAGTCACTCATCCCCACAAAATAATTGTCCAGACTGCGAGAGCTGGTGCTACCTGAGTACACGCCCGAGATCACATCCCCGTGATCCGACCCGGGTGTCGACGGCAATACTGTTGTGGGGCAGGACGATCCGAATGTGATTTCATCGTGGGAAAGATGGTATTCCGATGAACATTGCTTGTGGGTCGGGTCACTCGGGATCTCCACCTCTTTGCATTCCTGTTTTATTGAGGGAGAAAAGCAGGAGAAAAAGGGGTGGGGTTGGTCTTGCTTCCTCGGAGCTTCGGGTTCAAAGCTGAGCACAAAAGCGTTGTTGTGGATAGAATCCAGGAGGAATCGGGGAGCCTTTGACATGTCTATGCATGTGTGATCGCCTATGTATGTGGTCCGATACATGGGCGGGTTGTCTTCGGTTTGTTGGACCTGTTTGGTTGCTTGGCAGCCTTGATCGTTCTTGTGGGTACACCTGTAGTAGTTCCTGTACATGTCACAGATCGAATTTGTTTCATCATCAGCATCCAAACACCTCTAAATTACTGTTATTGTTGAAGAAGAAAGGAGGAGGAGGAGGAGGAGGAGGAAAGTCAATACACCTTGGGTATTTGGAGTTGAGGATCACTTTCTGGCCGTATTTCCGCCACGCACGGCCGTCATCGATCGGAGTAGCGCTGAGCTTTGTCCATGTCTGCAACAACTTTCTGCAACCAAGAAACAATTTTTTTTTGTTGGTATACAATGTTTGATTTCCCAAACAAGTTTTTGTCTCTCGAAGAATTAGGCCCCTTGTTGAGAATAATAACCAAGTTTTGGCAACAGTGGGCCTAGTGGCTTAGTGTAGCCGCAAATTCGAATAGGAACCAAGGACATATTTGTCATTCGACTCCCAAGATATTAGTAGTCTCTTGTTGACTTGGAAGCCAACCAATGGGATATTCAGAAATCGAATAACGAAATGACCACTATGCCCCTATTCTAGCTAAGATGACTAAATTGCTCTCTCTCTCTCTCTCTCTCCGTTGATAAAAGATATCAGTGATGGATAAACGGCTGTTCACCTTCGCTTATAACTTCCTCTGCGATCCTTGAGAACCGTAGACTTTTTGCTCTCACCGGAATCCTCGGTCGCCCGGTCACCGCAACTGGGCGAACTTACATGGGTACTCGCCGGATTCTGGGAAACCTCCCCGGATTCGACAGTGGTGTTGAGTGCCGCAATAGCCTCAGTGAACGATGTTAAGATTTTTGGGAGGAGGTCTTCCGCCGACACGGATCCATGACCTCCGAGGGGATTCCGGAGGATAATTTGAAGCTGGGTCGTAAATTCACGGCCACGGACAAGCTCGTTGATCGCCTTTCTTCGGTTGATTGGCGAATTTTCCGGCCACGGAGATTCCACTGTCCCCATCTCTTTATCCTTCTATGTGTTCGAGTAACTGACTCTAGTTCTCTTCTTTCTTTCTTTCCTTTTTTTTTCGCCTTCTCGTCTTACTTATCCTTTGCTAGAGACTAGGTTGATGATGAGAAGAGAGAGCCTTTTATAGGCGTTGGAGGAAAGGATGATAGCAAGAAAATGAAAATGCTGAGAAATCAGAACGAAGGTAGACAGGAAAAATCCTCGTCGTGATCCCCTCGACGTCACCGACGATCGTCACTTGGCTGGCATCAGCTTGTTTGTTCCACAGCGGAGCGTGTCCTCTTTTGGACAACCGTTTGATTGACAATCGATGGCTGAGATTATTAGGATTATTAATTACGTGGATTGAGATTCTTATTGAAAGGTTTTTATACAGTGACATATTATCCATAGTATAAGTCGCAATGTATTTTATCAATCCTCCCATATTTATTATCCACTCATATAAAGTAAGTGTAAATCACAGTTCACAGATGGTGACCCTGTAACTCTTCGTAAGAATCTAAGGACTAAGCAGTGGGTGACACTTACGACTTAACCCCCGAATTTTGTTTTGCGACGAAGAAACAACCATTCAAGACTTTATGGACAATACATAAAAATGACAAAACAAACGTTCTAAGCCCCCATTTGGGGGTATTAGTTATCGGATAAATAAAGGCTTATGAGTTTTTTATTTTAAAAAAAAGTGCTTATGAGTGTTAATAAATGCTTATTTCAAACAAGTAGTATAGATATTTTTAAATTTACATGTGGGGCCAAGATGGACCAGAAACCTGATAAGCACTTATTGAAAAAAGCACTTGAAAGTAAACAAAAAATTTTGGTTTCTTTAAATCAGGCTTATTTTTTCGAATAAGTACTTATTTGGCTTTTTTGCCCAAATGCACATAAATGTTTATTTGTGTGATCTCAACCTAAAACAAGTGCTTAAAAATAAACACTCCCAAATGAGGGCTAGAACACAAATTGTCCTCAAGGTGTTAATGAACTGTTCATTTCTAGGTTTTTCCAAGATAAACTTGGATGAAATAATGCTAAAAACATGTGAGTATAAGGATTTAAGACAAAAAAAAAAAAGTCGAAATGGTTAGAAATATTTTCAGAAACATTCTATAAAGTTAATTGAACAAATGATGAAGGGAAATAGTAACTGGGCTTGTATTTGACTTTTCCAAAATTTGAATGAACCTGGCCCAAAACTAGAGCCCAAAACTGTGTTAAGTTTGGGCTGAAGCTGTTGAGATTAAATCCAATAGGTTTGATTGGTCAATTACATGAGAAATTGCATCTGCACACTTGTTTGGAAAATTAGTTTTTTCTCTTACAAAACCCAATTTTGAGCATCTTCCACATTGGAAAATTATAAGCTTTGTTTTCAGTATTTTAATAGGAGTTTATTTACACTTCTTAGAAATAGTAGAGGAGAGTATGGATGTTTGATACCGCACAACACGCGCGCGTGTGTGCGGTGCAATGAGGCACTTTAGAGGCGCACTTTGCTCGCACTTCACGCGGCTTTGGTTTTGGTGCGATGCTAACCGTTGATCGCCATTGATGAGATCAACTGTCATGGTTTGATTGGGTGTGATCAAGAGTCACAATTCAATGTTAACAATCATTAACTATTAACTACTTTTTAAGCAGTCACAATGTTTGAAATTGTGATTGTTCAAGGTGCCTTCTCTGAACCAGCACCGACCTTTTCTTCATACCTCTTCATAAACTATTTAAGGAGCATGAATAAGACTTCAAAAGCACACATTTTCGAAATGCACTTTCTCTCTCTCTCTCTCTCTCTCTCTCTCTCTCTCTCTTAGTCCAGTCTACTACAGTCTCACAGAAGGTTTCTTCAAAGATTCTTCAACTTTGCTGGTTGCAGACTCTCGCCCAAGGCTCTGTTGTATCTTGGGAACGGATTTGCCTGTAACCCAACAGCAAACTCAATAAAAATGAGTGGGGGAAAATAACATTCTAAAGACAGTATCTTCAGACGCGCCTCAAAGCTTCTCTTCCAAAGTTACAGTGACCCATTTCCCAGTAATTTTAGAACGTTATTCTGCAATGGAGGCAAAAGCAAGTATGACTTCAATCAAGATGATGAATCAAGATCTTGTTCGACTGGACCAGTTCGATGGAGCAAACTTCAGCCGATGGCAAGACAAGATGATCTTCTTTCTGACCACACGAAAACTATACTATCTGTTGGACCTGAATCTGCAATCACTTCCTGAACCCACTGACAAAGACTCGGAAAAACTAAAGAAGGAGAGAGCAAAACGAGAAGATGACTCACTTTTGTGCCAATGACACATATTGAATGCCTTACCAGACCGGCTCAACAACTTCTACAAGGAACATAATCTCCAAAACAAATCTGGAAGGCCCTGGAATTCAAATACAAGGTGCAAGAAGTAGGTATGAATAAGTATATTATTGCAGAATACTTTGACTTCACCATGAACGACCATAAACCCATACTGGAGTAAGTTCATGAACTACAGGTGATAGTCAACAAAATTTGATCCCTTGACATCATCCTTCCTGAATCTTTCCAAGTGGGAGCAATCATTGCCAAACTTCCACCCTCTTGGAAGGATTTCAGAAAGAAGCTTCTGCATAAGGCTGAAGAACTTACCTTGGAGCAAATTCAGCAACACCTTCATATTGAAAAAGAGTCTTAGATTAGAGACAATAGGGATAAGACCTTGGCTGGTATGTTGAACTCTAAGGTCAATTTTTTTGGAAAACGGATCGAAGAAGACTAACCCTGCATTACAAGTAAAGAAAAGGGATGGGAACTTCAAAAAGAGCAACAATAAGAAGGGATCATGCTATGTTTGTGGAAAGAAGGGGCATTATGCCCGAGTTTTCCGACATCGGAAAGGCAGAACCAAGTCTGTAAACATGGTAGAAGACAATCTAGTGGCCATGATTACTAAAGTCAATATGGCAGAATCATCTTCTGGATGGTGGTTTGATTCAGGTGTCACAGTTCATGTTTGCAAGGACAAGTCCTTATTCAAGATATATGAAGAAGTGATTGATGGTAAGGAGGTACAGATGGGACACCAAACATGTGCCAAAGTTGTTGGAAGAGGTAGTGTAGACTTGAACATCACCTCTGGAAAGACATTGACTCTCCTGAATGTTCTCCATGTTCTTGACATTAGAAAGAACTTGGTCTCAGTAAATCTTATCTGTAATAGGGGATTCAAAGTTGTTTTTGAATCCGACAAACTAATCCTATCCAATAATGGAATGTTTGTTGGAAAGGGAAATTGTTGTAATGGTATGTTCAAATTAGGTATCAATGAAGGAAAAGTTTCTACTTATATTGTTGATTCTTTCTCTTTATGGCATGATAGATTAGCACACTTGAATTTTAAATCCATAAAGAATATAAGCAAACTTGGTATATATGCTTACAATAATGAATCAACTGAAAAATGTGAGATATGTGTAAAATCTAAAATGACTAAGAAACATTTCCCTAGTGTTGAAAGAAATTCTCAACTTCTACAACTAATTCATTCTGACATCTGTGAACTCATTGGTGTATTAACTAGAGGAGGTAAGAGATATTTCATAACATTTATAGATGACTTTTCTAGGTACACCTATGTCTACCTTATGAGAACTAAGGATGAAGCCTTTGACATGTTTAAAMTRTAYAAGACTGAAGTTGAAAATCAACTAGAAAAGAAAATTAAAATCCTTAGAAGTGATAGGGGTGCTGAATACTTTAAAAATGAGTTTAATTATTTCTATGAAGA